ATAAGGATATTTATGTGTAAGTATGTAAAATGAAATTGGTTTTTTTTGTTAGTTAAATTCTTTTCAAAATAGTTTTGAAATCATTCTGTATTGTATGTCTTAGACAATATTCAACTTCAGCTTTTTTATATTAAATGATATCATTTGCCACTTACGTTTATTTATTTCTTTTTACGAGTTTTCATTTAAGATATAGTTTGATCAACAATAGAAACAACATAAATAAGGGTTTCAAAAATTGCACCAAGTTCACAAAAATAAACCAAACTTCAAACTCGAAAATTTTCTCAAAATTCTGAACCAAAAGTTTGAAATTTTGATTAAATTTTTTTTAAATTTGATTCATTTTTGTGAACCTTGTGCAATTTTTGAAACCCTTATTTATGTTGTTTCTGTTGTTGATCAAAGTATATCTTAAATGAAAATTCGTGAGAGCATGGAGTTTTTTGTTTAAAATTTGCAATGTTTTTCAAGTAAATTTTTTTTTGTTATGTTTTTATTACATTATGGTTCATGCTTTCGTCAAAACCACATAAGTCAAACTTTCAAACTTTATGCAGACCTTAGAAAAATTCAATGAATTTTCGTCTAAATTTTGAACTTTTTAATCTGAATTTTTAGAAAAATTTTGAGCTGGCAGACAGATCGGGTAAGTAATTCTAGAAAAACAAGTGTAAGTTTCTAAAGTGTAAAGTGTAAGTAATTCTAGTAAAGCAAGTTTAAATTAACGCTATATTTCATAAATTGCACTTGTTATATGCAGAAAACCGCAAAATCCGTCGGAAATATAAATTCATTAAAAATCAACGCCGCTTAAAACTTGCACTTGTTTCACTAGAATAACTTAACCGATCTATATGCGTACCCAGCATTTTTCTGAAAATTCAGATTAAAAAGTTAAAAATTTAGATGAAAATTTGTTGAACCATAGATATTTTAATAAAAAAATAACAAAAAAATTTTACTTGAAAAACATTGCAAATATTAAACAAAAATACCACTTTTTTTACAATGTTCACAATATTTTTCATGATAAACATTTTCGTTAATTTAAACGATTTATCATGAAAAACATCGAGAATATGGTAAAAAAAATGTACTCAATTCTGTGGGTAATTGGTTAATATTAGAATGCAAATCAATTAAAAATCTAGTTATATGGGTAAATATAACACTGCAAAGAGTTACACTAACAAATTTCATCTAAGCGAAGTTACTGGCCCGTAGTCATAGTCAAAATAAAGTCGACTTTAAAGTTAGTTGCAGCTTTGTTGACAGATATCCCATTGAAAATTATGTCAAAAAGCTGCAACTAACTTTAAAGTCGACTTTATTTTGACTATGACTACGGGCCACTGACTTTTAAAATGAGTTGTGAATAATCGTTCTATTATATTGCCATGGGACTTCTCCATACGGTGTCATAAAATACTCCATAAAAGCAGCTCGAACATTTATTGCATCATCTGCTGGCCTACCCAGAGTGGTACTTGCACGAAGTGAAATTAGCTTTCCGTTTGGTCCAAGTTCTAATCGCCAATTACCCGCCACTAATTCTCCGTTTGTTTCATTGTCAGTGTCGGTTCTAGTTAAATAGGATGAGTTTCTTGATATTAAAAAGTTATGTATAACACAAATTGCTAGAACGATGGTCTTTGCGTTCTCAGGTTTAACATCCATTGGCCTTCTAAGGATCCTGAACCGTGCCGCGCATATGCCAAACACATTTTCAACCACGTTTCTTGCTCGTGATAATCTGTAGTTAAATATTTTATGCGACATTACTTGTTCACGATAAGAGAATGGTTTCAAAATGTATGGTTTCAGCGGAAAGGCATCGTCTGCAATAATGACAAATGGCATTGGATCTGCCTCATTCGGTAGTGGTCTGCGGGGAGGAAAATAAATAGTGTTGTCAGCAAGAGCACTTGAAAGCTTGCATCTAAAATGAAAAACACATATAAATATGAATATTACATGAATATAAGATGGGGGGATATATTGTCCAAAACTTGCCTTGCGAAAACACCTCCATCAGATTCGCGGCCGTATGCTCCAACTTCTACAAAAAGAAACTTATATTCTGCGTCCACCAAAGCCATTAAAACAATACTATTGAATTTTTTATAATTAAAGTATTCGGAGCCACAGTTAGCAGGTGCCTGTATCATTATGTGCTTACCGTCCAAAGCACCACAACAGTTTGGAAAGTTCCAACGCTTTGCAAATTGATCTGCTACTTCTGCCCATTGTCCAGGGGTATTTGGGACCTATGTAAATAAATGAATGCATATTCCATCTTATTCACACTAGTGATCGAAATAAATTTCAAAATACTCACCTTTAAAAACTTATCTTTCAATGCTGTAAAAATAGCAGCACATGTTTCATGTACTATGTGGCATATTGTAGTTTTACCAATAAGAAAAACCGTCATTAAACTTGAAAAGCTATCTCCTGTAGCCAGATACCGTAAAGTTACGGCGAGTCTTTCGCCGACTGAAATTGCTTTCCTGAATCGGGTATTGCTCTTGCCAATGTATGGTGTGAGATGCTCCACCAGGTAGTCAAAGTCTTCACAACTCATTCGCACAAAATTTTTAAACCATTGAGGATCCTGCTGACGTAATTTAAAACGCAGTGTGGAGTAGAAACCACTGGTGGCCCTGTGTCTGAGCCCTGGACGAATCCACCATTGCTTTTTATTTCTTTTCAAGCATTTATTTTTTTTCCACGCTTTTAAAGTCGCGATCAAACAAAGTGATGCAAAAGCAATCGAAGCTCGCTTTTTGTTCATTTCTTTTTGTTTTGCATTGATTGAATTTATTGTATAAAAAAATTGTTTAAGCTCGTAGCCAGTCCTTTGAAATTTTCACTTTGGTCAGTTACTTTTTCTGCTTTGACAGCTAATTCTTCTTCTTCTAAAAACACTGCTTTGACATTTATGGTGGAAACGGTATGTCAGTCGATTGACCCCAAGATTTGTCTACAATCATTGACAAACGCTTTTATGTCAGTTCATGGAGCTGAATGAAAACGCTTTCAGCAAGATATGACGACGATGGCAGAGAAGGCAGTTTATGTTGTCAATCAAATTGACGTAATGAAAACCAAGCATAACTCCGGCGTTGCTCATATGTTGTAATTTCTTGTTTGTGCTGACGCTGTTAAATAAGATGACCATTGATTGCAGTGTTCTGAGAATAGTGGCGCTAGTGATGTTGACATCACGCCGATGATGGTGCAGTGACTTTTAGCAATAGCAATAGCTATTGCTTTGCTGATACAGAGACCCGTTCTAGCAACCGTGTGAACATTGATCTGGTCATATTCTGGTCGATCACATGTTACATGAATGATGTCGAAATCGTCGATAGTGTAGTGGTAGTGATAACCAGACATTGAACAACCGGCCCTAATAGAAATTCTATGTTCCGAAACTTGCACAACAGAGGAAATATACTACTATTAAATACAGTTTCCTACATATCAGGTTGTAAGATGTGACTCGTACAGTAGACATACAGGAGGGGTAATCATAATATTGCGTGACGCACTAGATTTTAAAATACTACTAACCAAATCTATCGATAAAAGTGTTTGGTGTGTAGTTATCCAACTGAAAAATCTCGAAACCAAATTGAAAATTGGGGTGGTCTATCACTCACCTAGTTCAAGTGATGCTGATTTTCTAGCATATATGGAGACCATTTTGTCGGAAATATGCGATAACATGGTAAATACCATTATTATCGGAGATTTTAATATAAACCTGAATATAATGTCGACATATAGTAAGAAACTGAATGAGATATTCGCCCATCAGGCAATGAAACAGTTAATTAACTTTAATACTAGGGTTACTGATTATTCCCTAACACTGACCGACTTATTGTACTCCAACGCTAAGGAAGTTTCATGTGAAAAAGCGGAGGAACATAGAATATCGGATCACGAAACTATGATGTTCAAATGCGATATAAAAAAACAAGGCCCTATCAATAAACTGTTTGAAATAACTTCGTGGGATGGGTACAGCAAAGACAACCTCATAAATCTTTTGAGAAAATGCACCTCCGCTGACCTGAATAGTCTCAGTCCAGATGGTATGCTCGAACATATTAACCATTGTTTGAGCGGGTCAAAATCAAAAATAAATGGTATGACAGACAATTGACTGAAACTAATAAAGAAAAATTCAAGTTATACCAAAGGGCAGCGATCACTGGTCATTGAGTAGAATACAACAAAATAAATAAAATGTATAAAAAATGATTAAAATTAAAAAAAAACAATATATGGAATACAAGGTGGAAATTAATAGAGGTGATAGTCGTTTAATGTGGAAACATTTGAAGAATATCGTCAATAATACAGATCACAAAGAAAACATCAAAGAAGTTATAATCAACCGCAAAATATATAGAAATAGTACTGAAATTGCAAACAAGTTAAACAATTTCTTTGTTGAGAGTATCATCGATATTAATAGAAATATAGAAAATGTTAATTATGAAGCCTTCAGTTGGGAATAGTTCCGACAGAATGGAAA